AGCTAAGCCTTTGCCTACTGCTGGCTCACTGTTGTTAAACCGTTTTAAGACAGGCGCTCTACAGACAGCTAGTTCTCACAAAAGGAGGGGAGCAATTCCCCGGGGCCAGAAAGAACTAACCTTTCTACAGTAGAGGAGAAAATTGAAGGATAGGAAATATGCTCTATATTTGAACCAAAACTTTGCTGATTTTGAATGTTCCAAAGCAGTGTAGTATGGGGACACGCCCTTGCCCACTCTGTCTAAATCTGTGTATATAGCCTGCAAATATATATGGCGTTAGATCTCCCCCAGGTTTGAACACAAAAAAATGTCACCCCTGATGGCATCGAAACTGTCAGCCCAAGGTATACTAGTAACTGGAGGGAAAAAAGCAAACAGGTTCTTTTTATCAACTTTTGTTACGTGTCCTCCGCGTGATTTTTTCGTCGTTCTTTTCTTTTTCTTTTTTATGCTCTATAAACTTATGGAGATCTATCTATCTATCTGTCTATGTGTTGTATTTACCTCTGCTACAGCCAAAGAAAACTTTTCATCAGCATTACAAATAAATTCGAAAAAAAACCCCCAAAACTTACTTCAGTCGATTTCTTTCGTCAGCTACAATAATCAAAGCGCAGGGACATGAAGCAATGCGCATATCAAACATTCCAAATTGCCATATTAAAAATTTGACCACAGATCAATTAAGCCCAAAACTTGTTTGTTTTCTCGTCTAGCCCTCCCGGCATCTCCTTAATTAGCAGGCGAATTAAACATATACACAGACATACACACAAACGCCCACAAAAAAGTACTATTACATCACAGGAAATTCAATTGAAGTTAAACAAAGTCTCGGTTACCTTTTCAAGATGGATCAGTTTTACGTTAATGCGAAACTCACATTCAATGGAATTTTTTTCTTTTTTGACATCGTGTTAAGATATTCCTCGAGACAATCTGCTGAAGAGTTGACAGAGGAGGGCAACGCAATCTGCAATAAAATTCAATTTGTAAACATTCTAGTAATTGGGTAAGTCGTAAAAACCGACCCAAAATCAGTGGAACAGCATTCGCCCGCCCAAGACAGGAAAAAAGAACCAGCACTTGGCATATTTATGGGATAGGTTGATTGTATCGATGGAATGAAACTAGTTTGGGTTATTAAAAAAACGGCAGCTTGCATCTGACGTTTTCCAGTTTTAATTGAATAATCGTACAAACACGCATCCTCAAATTTCTGAAGGTTATCGTAAGAACTTTAACGACATTTCCCAGCGGTTTTAAACACTGTGTTTATCGGTTTGATAATTTAAACTGCAACCTCTGTACAATTGAAATAGTTTTATAATTTATGATAGCTGAAACAAGCTAGCGCTGTTTTTTTCTTTTTTAACTAAGATGAATGCAATTGCATATAAGTTATCGGAAATGTTAAACGCAGAGCACGCGACAGGTTGTCACGACAACCGTCAATCATGATGGTAGCCAGCGGTTACGCTCTTTAACTACAGGTCTCGTTACACTTCACAGTGACTTCTCTAATTGTAACTTGGATGAAAAATGAAACCTAGAAGGCTGATATTTAAAAAACACGTACACTAACAGGTGGTCTCCGCTGACAGCAGCAATGTAAAAGTCATTTTCACACCTGGATTCAGTCAATCTTGCGCAATGCTTGCTCCCTGGAAAGCTGTTTGTACCAACTGGCAGTTATCATAATAAGTCACAATGATCAGTTATTCTCCGCTTTACGTGACACTTGGTTGAGAAGAATTTGAGTAGGCACGACACCGTGATCGAAAGGGAATTTATATTTTCTGGGAATAAGCGCGTCACCCTTTATACCAACATGGCGTATGATCCTAGGCGGTATTTAAAAAAAAAATCTTTGAAACTGGTCAACTGAAACGAAACTACATTCAGGTATGCTTATTTAATATAATCACAATTAAGCATTACACCCCCGGCCCTCCATTAATTAATGGAATAGTACCTAATCATTAAAAAAAAACTGTGTCATTTTTTGTTGGTAAGCAGGGAAGGATCAGTACTAGTCTAATACCACCTTTTCTTCAACTCTATTGCAATGTAGTAGCGATACTTTTTCTCCTTTGTCAATCACAAACAAGGAATTCATTTGTAATGATTATAAAAAGATATTGGTATAATTGGTAAATATATTGAAAAAGAGGTGTTTATTTGTGTGATGCAGTTAGTCCTGCACTTCAAATCTTAACTGTTCCAAATGGAGATTATGTTTATGAAATCAAAGGGACTCGTTGAAAAGTATCACAGATCTGTGACTGTAGATATCGCATTATAGTTTGAAGTCCAGTTTTTGCAGGAAAGAATTTCCTTCGTTGTGGGAGGTTAAGAATAGTGTGTAACTTGTTTTATTTTTCTTACTTAAGTGTGTAACTTGTTTTATTTTTCTAACTTAAAGCACTTGGGCGTGCAACATTATAATGACTAACACGACTATTAAAGGGGGGTCATACATGACGAATTGAGACTCGCGGCGAATACTGATTTAACAGAAAATTGTAATTGTATCATTTTTACAATTACCAATTTAGTATAAAGGGGATATTATAAATTTAAGTGTTTAGCCAGTTAAAGTAAAAACGTATTGGTGGTCAGTGAATAACCTGTGTAACATTGAGACGGATGACTTATTGACAGCCAGTGACCCTTGGTCATCTGAATCAGACAAAAAGTTTAAGCCGACAGTTGGCTGTGCCTGTTTAAGTCGTCAGTTTTAGGCCTCTGCACACGTGATAGTTAGCTTGGTGTTGACTGGTAGGGTGTAACGATGTCAAATTCTACTACTACTACTACTACTACTACTACTACTACTACCATTAATATAATAATAATAATAATAATAATAATAATAATTATTATTATTATTATTATTATTATTATTATTATACTGCAGTTTGCAGCTGTTAAAATGTCATGTCTGCAGTCAAGAGGCTTTTGCGCAACAAAAGGTGTTTTCCCAGTGAAAATATGTTCTCACTAGTTGGATATGACACCTGCAATTTTTATGGGGTAACTTGATGGCCACTCCCCTACCGTCACCAAAGCTACCCCTTCACAAAAAAAGGTGCAACAAAGTGACAATCACTACATTCATATGTAAGCTATAATTAAAAAGAAACAGGGTAGCGTCGTCTCGAGTGTGGTATTCTCTTTTTTTAAACGGGCACAGGTTTTTTATAACACGCCGAATCCAAACATCTTCTCCGGTTAAGCCTACTTCCAGACATTCAAATTAAAGACACATGTAATATACTCATTTACGGTCAATCTTTAGCATCCGTCGTTGTTTTATATGTCCGATGGCATATTCCTCCATTAAGGGTAACAGAGTGCATTTTTCAAGTCATATATATATCGCCATCCTGAGCAACACAAGCTGGGTCGTTTTTTATTAAGGCAACATAAGACGCCCACGATTTTTATTAAGTTAATTCAAACGGACATCAGAATATGTGTGCGTGCGTTTGAAGGGTGGAGGAGGGGGAGGGGGAAGGAGTGCTGGAAATCTTATGAGTGTATCAATACTTAAAACAGGAAATATTTCGCATAAGAAAATTTCCCTTTAAGATGTGACTGCATTGTTTTTGTTGTTCTCCTCATTGCAAGATTCAACCATTGTTTTCCACTACCCATGTGCGCGGAAGAGTGTTGAAACTGTAACATTTCTTGTCATCACTACCACAACTACCGGGCTTCAGAGTTTATATGGACTACTTTCTTATAACCTCCATAATGAACTTGTAAGGTTACGTTTCTATTTGGACGTGTGTGCGGAGGAATGTTAACAGGGCTTGTCGTCAGCCACACGCTTACAAAGTCTTTAATTTGACTACAAAGCATCTGGAAAATAACACCCAAGATGAATGCAACAATGAAAATACTTACTATGTCTTATTATGTAATCAGACGCATTTCTTCACTTATAATTGTTTACTTTTCTTATACTAGTCATCGCTACAGTTCCAGTCAGCTTTTATGCCGCTAACAACAACAGGGTCCGTGTTTTGAACTTTTTTTCGTAGATCAGAGTTCTGGCTTCCGTCAAGTATCCATGCTTTCCAGATGTGTCCTCACAATGTCAAAGCTTTTATTTGTCATGTTCGTCACAGGCGGTATGTCCCTATGAATGCTCAGACGCACGTCGTAGTCACCTCACTAAGAATAATCAGGACCGATCTTTTTGCCAACTGCAAAATGAATTTGGATCTCCGATAAAATTGTTATTTGAACCCGTCCGCCAGCCTTTCACGCGGTGATTTGATAGCTGACGGAAAGATCTAGGTAGCATGCCCCCCCCCCCCCCCCCCCCGGCCCGTGATGAGTGTCATCTTTTCCTCCCTAAAGTAGGCTTCTACATGTATGTATGTTCTTTTCAAGTGACAAGTTTAAGAATGAAACAACAAAGCCAAGCATACAGGGACATTTGGGATATTTTTAGTTGTTTATAACCTTTCTATATTATCAAAAGAGAATATTAACATTTACTGTCGTTTTTACTTTGATTTTAGAATAGACGTACTGTCATTGCAGAATGGACGCAATCAGGAAAGAAAATAGAAAGAGCATACGCGCATACGTGTACGTACAATCATGCACGCACGCACGCACACACACAAGCACACCCCGAGAAAACAAAAGGCAGTGTACTGCGTTTTCATTCTAAAGGAAACGGCAGCCCCCCCCCCCTTAAATTCTGAATCTCTTCTTATCACTCTTAGAACTTGGGACCGCGGTGGCAGAGACATGTTACAGAGTGCGTTTTAAGAAAGTGCTATGAAAACCAGCTATATGTTTAAGAAGCCTAGCGCAATTACTACGACAGCAGCGATAAAAAGGCAAAAAATTACTTCGTTTGTTTATTTAACCTACGATCCAGCCTTGACACAGGAGCAATTTTAATTTCACCCGCCTTGACGTGTCTTAACACCCCGGGAACCCCGAAAACATATATGGACCTTAATCAATTTTACCAAAATATGAGATGCATTTCTTTTCCTGAGAAGTCTAAATTTTCGGTCTTATTTATTGCAACGCAACTTCAAGTCAAGTTGAATAGGAAGCCAAAGGTGAAAAGTCTTCTTTGGTGTTAAAAAACAGTTTCCACGACCATTGCCAGGGGGGTTGACCGCTCGCATGGGAAATATGCCTGTGTGTTTCCCATTTAGACTTTGATAAGTTACTGACTGGATGTCTTTGTAACACAATCACTGAGACACCCGGTTGGGCTCTGCCGCTAACCTGTGCATAAAACCTGAGTGCTTGTGGCGAACCGGTCTATCTGTAGGCGTGAGCGATCGGAGTCCGCGCGGTGCGTTTGGTGAGTCGAGAAGATGGAACGAACATTTTATGTCTTTTTGGCTTTTCTTGTCCACTCAGTGGCATCCCAGGGACAGATAGACGTGGATTTGACTGATCACGGGAAGAAGGTACGTTGTTTGTGAAATCTCCCCTCGATCTTTTAAGACTGGTTTCTGTGATTTTGCTCCGTGACGATTCAATGCTTTCGTAAGGTTTTATTTTCAATGTGTCGTTTTGGTTTTTTTCTGTATTTATACTATCAAATTGTTTTTCAAACCAAAAGGAAGAAAAATTATGTCGAAGACAACAAGTAAGGGAAGTTTTAAGAAACGCGCTGAGTAGAAAAAATATAATAGCATCTGATATAAATAAGAACAATTACCAAATATTTTTGTAGTATTGCCCATTGACGTGTTGCTCTTCGCGCTTTTTTTTTCATGCTTTTGTTCCTTTTGAAAGCAGACAGCCAGATTCCAGATTGCCCTCTGTGATAGCGGTTTTTAACATTTCCTCTTTAAAAACACATCTAACAGACACCCATGCACTTGTATACACAGTGAAGTTAATAACCTATGTATTTCAGTATAAAAGAACAATACCCAACGAAAGGAGTAAAAAACCTTTTGTTATTGATGTAGACAGGGGTATTTTTTTCATAAGGACTTTTGCACCGTACACATGGTTACGTGCCCCAGCCGGGTCGGATAAATATGTACATTTAACTAAGAGAATGGTTGATATACGAAAATATATATAAAACAATGCGTTTGTAATTGAATGGCGCAAAACAGAATTTAAAGAAAATGGCACTCATAGCAGAGCAATAAGTACAATCAACAAGTTGCCCTTGCATCAATCATTTTGGAAAAGACATTAATTTAACGTCAATGCAGAGACATTTGTGGCGGCTTCGGCATCTTTAGGAATATTCTACACGGCAGTGGATGGTTAAGTGAGCCCCTGCCACGTGAGAGCACCCCCTTTTTCTCTTGAGACGAAGCCTTTGTAATGAGCGTTTTCACGGTGTCATTAGATCCTAGAACGCTAGTAGTGCGTTTTTTAATGAGTTCAGTTAAGTATAATTTGAAACTTTCCCTTTAATGCAGAAAATGTATCAAATTCACACAAGGAGCAAGTGTCTGCAGACGCATAGTTTAACAGTTCTTCTATTATCGTAAGGCTATTTTTGTTCTTTTGGCAATGTAAAATAACGTATTGAATTATTGTTTCACCTTTAATTTCTCTAAAAGCGCATTCATCTTAACAGCACCTTCATTATTATATGAATCTGACCAACTGTTTAAAACGTCAGTTCGCACTCAATCATACGTGATCGTGGACAGATAGTCATTGTAGAGTTTCTCACGTAAGGTTATCCGCAGCAACGCCCTATACCGACCGAAGCAGCAGGTGCACGCTAAACCGAGGTGTCAACACTGCCGCGCGTCGCAAAAATGACGTTCTTTAATTCCTACAGAATGCGATATGTTCGTCATGCACCCAGTCCGCCCAAGCACGCTGAGATCTTCTTTAGATGTTTATTTTTGAGGAAGTGGTTACGGAATTTTGAAGTTGCATTTAAATGCCATGATGTGTATTTGACCACTTTTGATATGACATAGGCTGTTTTTAACTGTGTTCTTGGTTGCATTAATTTTTTATTTAAACTTTTATGCGTTCGGCCGCAGAACTTAAAATGTACAAAACAGAAAAAAATATATATGTTATGAATTTTAACACGTTTGTTTAGGTACAAGGACAGAACCACAAATATTGTCCTTATTCCTGGGGTGACGAAAAACGGAAGAATAAAAACTTTCAAAGGGAAATGGCTTCTTTTTTTAACTTATTTTATTTTTTATGGGAAATGGCTCTTAAGCATTTATGATAAGCGATCAGCAAGGTTTTTCTCAGCTTTTTCTCATATCCAGACGCGTACCTATTCTTTTCAATGCTGAAAAAAAGGCAAAGGAAATGAAGTGGCTTTGAGCTATTCAGCTATTCTAAATACTTGAAGTTTGTCTAAGTCTAACATTTCTGCTTGAAACCAATGCGCGGGGCCGAACCGGGAAAAGTAGTCGTTAAGTCATTAAAGAAGTGAGCAGTTCAGTGCAGTTCCGGATGCACGAAGCTTCGGTATTAAAAAGGACTTCTTAATCGTTTTTCACCCGAGTAGTTATATGTAATTTTTTAAGGAGTGTTAGATTAATTCGGTTGTACCGGTTGACATAGAAGGAGGAAAAAAATAGCGTCTTTTACGTAACGCTATGCTTATGCAACACAACATTTCCGCCTGTCATAACACCCCAATACTTCATTTGAAAAAACTACAGTGTTTTTATCAAAAGCTATTTTTTGCTACGGTTTTCACACAAATGAGGTTCCTTCTGTCGTCTTGTTAGCAGGCAACCAACCCAGGAGGTTCGACGTCACGAAAGTCATGTTAACTAACTATAGCGGTTCAGCATTGTTCTCCAAATTCACCTGTGTATTTGATATGGATTTTTAGAAGAAAAAAAAAACTCATGAGAAATCACCAGCTAACGCAGGCTACAAGGGTCAGGCCACAGGTGTTTTTCTTACGAACCTTACCCTTATTAGTTAAGAGCATTATCATTTATCTCGAAAGATTTCAATAGCTTGAGAGAAAAGAAAAAAAACCCAGACAGCCAGTTCGGCCCTTCGGGGTTCCTCCTTTTTTCATGCTTCTGGGTTTTAAGTATTCCCTTTTGCGAACAGTTGTGTGCCCCGATGCAAAAACCGTTTGTTCTGTTCAGAGAAAGCGACCTGTTGCCTTTTTTGTGAGGTAGTTAGTCTAAAACACTCTCATTACCTACTAATGCGAAGTCTCAGCAGGCAGCGATATGGTGTAGCCGGTTTCAGAAAAAAAAAAGCTGAAACAAGCGCAACAGTCTAATTGTGTTTATTTTCCCATATTTTAACCACGTTGGTGGGCATTATACAATGTTTGTTGACGCGTCGATACTGGTCAACTCCTCGTAGTTAATTTTAAAACACAATTCCCGATGTAATTAATAAATTGTCCTATTTTAATTCCACTTTCTGTTTGTTCGATTTGGGAGGGGGTGGTTGTACTTAAAACCAAATGTTTTGTTAGTCCGAAATGCCATTCATCGCAGATAGGAATTGCTGAAACTCTTTATAAAAATACCACCTTTTATGTGTCTGACTCGGCTGGTAATGCGCCAGTTTTCAATTACATTTGTATACAATAAGCGACTCTAGGCCGTGTAAATATACAGCCCTATAACATATTTCAGGCTTTAAAGCAACCGCAGCACTAAAATATCCCCCTGCTTTGTTTGTTTTAGGGTTCTATGAAACTGTTTCATATTTTAATGGTCCATACGCGTATGCACGTTTTTTTTCCCTCTGGAGCGTGCTAATGGGTACTTAGTTCGCACTCGTTTTGTCCCGTAATGCCCTCACACGACCTAATACACTTCATAACATCGCTAACTTTTTAACATCCGGGAAGTAAAACCATATGACACCTTGATTCACACTTCAAGGTTATGATAAAGAAATATCATTACTCTTCATTAGCGTGAGCAAGTGGTGCTTTGATTTTGCCTTGCATCCCGCAGTGTGTTGTTTCAACAAAGATTCCCGCGTAAAACCTGAGACAAAGTATGACATAATAATTTAATTGAGCACTAAAATGTTTTACAATAACATTTTACAGTCTCTCTCTCTCTCTCTCTCTCTCTCTCTCTCTCTCTCTCTCTACACACACACCATTTAAAGACAAGAAACAAATAATATGTTACAAAAATGATATCCACATATTTAGCAAAATTTATTTAGTGAATATTTCATTTATCCAAAAATGATGATACAGTGGTAGGGACCATTCCCACAGATATTTGGATCGATATATCTCCCTGGGGAGTCTCACTAAATTGCTGTCAGCTTAACCGGCTTAAATGTCTGTCCCGCCTACTAAAAGCTGTTAGGGGGTAATTAACTTTCGTGCGCGCTCGGCTCCCTCTTGAGTTGATAGTTATTTCGTATGAACCAAGTTAGGTCGATCCAGACGGATCGATCTAAGTATGGGAACCCAGGCGTAGCCTATATGTGTTACAAAGTGGACCCTTACAAAGTAACATTTTAATGACGTTAATTTGGATTTTTAGATCTATCATGTATTTAAATGTTAAAAGCTTCAAGACATATACTACTTGATGCATTGAGAAGTCAGACAAGTTTTTCGTAGTCCTTCCAAAAACATCTTGTAAGTCTTTAAGTCCAGAGTTTTTATACAATCTACATTTATTCACATGGAAATCATGGACAAATTGTTATAAAATATATCTATTTCATCACAAACAAATGTCATTTCATCAAAAGTTATTCTAGTAACTTAAAAAAACTTACATGCATTATTGGTTATTCATAAAGAATCATAGTTAAAAAACTTCATAAGTCTTGGACATTCTTTATACACTCTGTGCTTCTCTTTGAACTTATATGTAGAAGGCTTGTAAAGATTCCAATGTTTACGAATGCGATAAAGACGAAGTGGCCATTCCATCTGAGCTCAAAGAGGTAAACCAAGATAAAAAGAAACCAAATTAGTTCAATTTAATTGCTTTGACGTTCGTTTAATTAACAGGGAGACCACAAGGAAGTAAACCATGTACAACCCCGCTGGTAACGGGAGAAATGCAACCAACTGTTCTATAGAAAACGACACTTTTGTAATATCCCTGGCGATTTTTTTCTAGCATGTAAACATTCGTTAGCCATCACCCTGAATATAAAATTGCAAACAGGAACTTTTCATCTACAGCAGCATGCGCATGCGCTTGTCGTGTTCATTTGTGTATCAGGCGTAAATGGGCTACGTAGCTAAAAGAATTAGCCAACTTCAGATCCAGGGTGGAAACTAGCATTAGATATGTTTAAAACAAAATAAGCATCACATGTACACAGACATTTCTCGCTGATGAAATTAACAAGGCAGAAAGTTTTCCCCGTGTGCCTCCTTTATACTCTGTCGCGACGTCGTCGTGTAAGTAATTAGATTACTGCGCGGAGGGTAGGTGGCTTAAAACCCACAGCTGCCGTCAGTGACAAGAGAAAAAAATGATTTAACTCGTAACTC